AGCAGAATAGTCGAGTAGTCTATTTAACTCGAATGATTTGATTGTTTATTTGAGCCACTTTATCTATATATATCCTACCTTTGACCAAATAGCCTACGTTACAACCCGAGAAGACCTTTTGATTTAAAGCTCACGATTACTAATTGTTTTTGAAGTAGGGTGTTAGATGATTGGCAAACGTATAGTTAACTGGGTGTTTAATTTGACTTGAGCGTATCCTTCTCTTTTATATATTGATGACATGTGAGTGAGGCACTTATATATATTCCTATTTGAGAGTTCGTTGATTCAAGGTAGACACAAGAGAATAGTCAAAAGCATGATTATTATGATCGTTTGAATTTTTCTTGGTTGCATTGAAGAACTTGAAGCTGTTCTAGTTTGATATCACTCATTATGCTTGAGTTTTGATTTTCTTATTCTTGTTCGGGGACGAACAAGGGTTTAAGTTTGGGGGAGTGATGTTCATCATTATTTTCATGCATTATGAGTGATATAGTGTGATGTTTGACCGTGTTTATTGTGGGATTGCGCACCATTTCGTTTGATTTATTAATCTATGATAGAGGTATAGTTGTCGTTGGTTTTGCAGGAAATATGCCCGAAAAAGCGTTAAAGATGGAATCGGGACGAAAAACGGCAAAAACAAGGTGCAGTCAGGGTCACACGACTCGTGTTGTATGTGACACGAGTCGTGTGAGGTGAGAAAAATGGGATCATGAAGAATTTTGGCACGGCTTCACCACACGAGTCGTGTGGCCCATGACACGAGTCGTGTGGGCTCACACGACTCGTGTGACCTCTCGTGTAGGTTGGCCGTTTGAGTCTGGGAGCGGGGCAGAAATTTGAAGAAAAGTCACACGACTCGTGTGGCATGTGACACGAGCCGTGTGACGCACAGACAGTCCAGCGGGGAATAGGAAACTTACGCGATTTTGACCCTTTTTCAAGCCATATTTGCCCTACAGTATAAAAAGGACATGAAGAACACGGTTCTGGGGGTTGGAACACCATTGGAGGCCTAGGGAAAGCACGAAACACACGAGGGATTCGAGGAAGTCAAGATTGAAGATCCGGGAACTAACGGCAACAATAGTTCTTCTTTCTTTTCTTTTTTTTTTTTCTTCTTCATTGAACTCATGGATTTATTTATTTTGAGTATTGAGAATATGTTTAGTAGCTAAATTTCTTTGAGATTCTAGGATTTGCGAGTACTCGGATTATTTTATGAAGTGATTTTGTTTATTCATTCCGTTCTATCTTTCGTTTATCAATTTCTTGTGCTTATTATTATTGTGTGAGTAGACGGCCGCTATGAATGCATACTTGTAATTGATTTGAGACCGAGAGGAGATAATTGATTGCTAGAATTGGGAAATTCATAACGTAAGAGGCTAAACAGACCGAGAGGTTGATAGGATCTTGCGAGGGAACTAGAATCTTAGGAGCGTATGGGAGTTAGTTGTTCATCTTGAGACCGAGAGGAGATAGATAGCAATTAATATCTACGATTTGCTTGTTCGAGAGAAAAGTTGAAATCACTTTAGCGATTATCCCTACGATTGGTAGAATTAAATAAGGTTTGAATGATTAAGAGAACTTTGCTAGAATAATCCCGAGGAAAGCATAGCCTAGAATCTATTTTCTCATACTTGATTTATTTAGAATAAGCCTTCATTAGTGTTAGAATTTATTTTTGCATTCATTCATTAGTTTAGAATAAAAACTCCAATCAAATTTGCGTTTGTCTAGATAATATTTAGTCGTCTATATTTTGGTACTTAATTAGTTTTACAGCAGTCTCTGTGGAATACGACCTTGCTCGCCGCTTTCTGCAGCTACTCCGTACACTTGCGGGTAGTAAAATTATTTTGCGAACACAGGAACGACTTAATTGACATAAAATATTATTTGATTTATTAATATTTTTATTATATGTAAAAAAATGTTTCATGTGCAAGTTAGAAATTAGAAGTAAAATAAAAAATACTAAATTTAAATAATTTATAATTAAAAAAAAAACGGGCCAGCTCGCGGGCCAAACGGGGCGGGCCAAATAGGCCCGCGATTGAACGGGCTGGTGAAGCAAAGGCCCAAGCCCGTTCGTTTAAGCGGGCGGGCGGGCCAGCCCGCGGGCCACTGGCCCGTTTGACAGTGCTAGCAGTTCGATCGACTTTGGTGATTGTAAAATTTGATAGTTATTAATGTGTAATTCGTTTAATATTATCATGCAATTGAAGCACAAACATTTTTTAACGATTTGTCCCAAGTCGTACAAAAAAAGGAAATGAAATACCGATTTATTCGACCAGCCAATTGAACTAACCTAAATGATTGAAATATTTTATAATTCAAATTATATATATATATATATATATATATATAGTATTTTAGTATATTATTTAATATTTGATATTGTTTTTTTGTTATAAAAAATAATTTAACGTGCAACTCGTCTAATATTATTGTGCACTCTATTGAACGAGTATATTTATATGTGTATTCAATTTTAGAAAACTTTAATAATGTGTATTTCAATCAACATTATGATGCATTTACTAAATTATTTATATAATAAAATTATATTTAGTATTTATAATTTATATTTAATATATTATATTATTGATTGTTGAAAATAAATAATAATTATATAATATACAACAAATAATTTTTCATTTTATTTTATTTTCTTTCTATATATATATATTTACTTTTTTTTTTGCGATTGGATTTGGTCAACATAAATGCACACACTATCAGTTCCACGTAATGCACAATAGTGACAAG